CCCCTCTTCTTCCCCCCCCCCCCCACGGACATTGTAAAGCTCGTTTTGGACATGACAACTTGTACTTCTCATTGTTGCAACAGGTCCACCTGTATCCTTAAACAACTGGTTTTTCCCCATCTCCTCCACAAGTTATACTGACATCAAATATAGTGAAAGCAGGGGTTATACTATGGGGGAGGGACATACAAAGCAACAAAGAGATAATCTTATAAATGCGTTAGAAACACATGCATGAAAGAAAAAAACATTAAAATACATATCTAAGGGTTCATTTTCCTGACATCACATTCTCTGACTTTTTCCGCTTGACTCATACATATACTAGATATTGCAAATAAGGGAAACCATGGGACCTATGTTTCTTTGGGCCTGGCTTACTTCACTTAATATAATTTTTTCCAAGCCTTTCCATTTCCTAACAAATGGGGCAATGTCATTCTTTCTGATGGAGGCATAGAATTCCATTGTGTATATATACCACATTTTCTTGATCCATTCATCTACTGAGGGGCATCTGGGTTGGTTCCATATCTTAGCTATGGTAAATAATGCTGCAATAAACATAGTTGTGCTGGTAGCTTTAGTGTGGTCTTGTTTGTAAACATTTGGGTAAATGCCCAGAAGTAGGATTGCTGGGTCATAGGGGAGTTCTATGTGAAGTCTTTTGAGGAACCTCCATACTGCTTTCCAAAGTGGTTGAACAAGTTTACACTCCCACCAACAATGAAGTAAGGTTCCTTTCTGTCCACATCCCCTCCAGCATCTGTTGTTGTTAGAGTTCTTGATTTTTGCTGTTCTAACTGGAGTGAGGTGATATCTCAATGTTGTTTTGATTTGCATTTCTTTTATGGCTAGGGATGTTGAACATTTCTTCATGTGTCTATTGGCCATCCTTCTTTCTTCTTCAGAGAAGTTTCTCTTTAAGTCTTTCGCCCACTTATTTATTGGGCAGTTGTTTCTTTGAGGATTTGTTGTTGGGGGGTTTAATTTTTTGAGTTCCAAGTATATTTTAGATATGAGACCCTTGTACGTTGTATGGCTAGTAAAGATCTTCTCCCAATCTGTGGGCTTTCTATTGATCTTGCTAGTTATGTCATTTGCCCTGCAGAAGCTCTGCAACTTTATGCAATCCCATTTGTCCAACCTTTCTTTGATTTGTTGTGTTTCCGGGTCTCTATTCAGAAAATTTCGGCCTGAGCCAAGGAGACCTAGGGTTTCTCCTATTCCATCCTGTAATGTTTTCAGAGTGTCTGCTTTGAGTTCAAGGTCTTTGATCCATTTGGAGTTGATTCTGGTGCAGGGTGAAATATAAGGATCTAGCTTTAGTTTTCTACATGTAGTTAACCAATTTTGCCAGCACCATTTACTGAAGAGGCTGTCTGTCTTCCATTCTATTGTTTTAGCTCCCTTATCGAAGATTAGATGGCTATAGGTCTGTAGGTTCATTTCTGGGTTTTCAATTCTATTCCATTGGTCCTGAGGTCTGTTCTTATGCCAATACCAAGCTGTTTTGATTACTATGGCTTTATAGTAGAGTTTGAAATTTGGTATTGATATTCCTCCAGCATTGTTCTTTCCGTTGAGGAGCGTTTTTGCTATTCGGGGTCTTTTATTGTTCCATATGAATTTTTGGATTGCCTCTTCTGTTTCCTTGAAGAATGAGGGTGGAATTTTGATAGGTATTGCGTTGAATTTGTAGATAGCCTTGGGAAGTATTGCCATTTTCACGATGTTAATCTTTCCAATCCAGGAGCATGGGAGGTTTTGCCATTTTTTAAGTTCTGTGTTGATTTCCTTTTTCAAGATTTTAAAGTTTTCATCATAGAGGTCCTTCACTTCTTTAGTTAAGTTAATTCCTAGGTATTTTATTTTTTGTGGGGCTATTACAAATGGAGTTGCTTTCCTAATTTCAGCCACACTTTTCTCATTGTTGGCATACAGAAAGGCCATTGATTTTGGGGGGTTAATTTTATAACCTGCTACTTTGCCAAAGTTTTGAATCAGCTTGAGTAATTTGGGAGTGGAGTCTATGGGATTCTTTAAATACAAGATCATGTCATCTGCAAAGAGGGAGAGTTTTATTTCTTCTTTCCCTATTTGGATCCCCTTTATGTCTGCATCTTGTCTTATTGCTGTAGCTAGGCATTCTAATACTAGATTGAAGAGAAGTGGAGAGAGTGGGCATCCTTGTCTTGTTCCTGAGTTAAGAGGAAATGGCTTTAATTTTTCACCATTGAGTATAATGCTGGCTGTAGGTTTGTCATATACAGCCTTTATTGTATTGAGGAATGTTCCATGGATTCCTAATTTTTCCAAAACCTTCATCATAAAGGGGTGTTGGATCTTGTCGAATGCTTTTTCTGCATCTATTGAGATAACCATGTGATTCTTATTCTTGCTCCTGTTGATGTGATGAATAATATTAATTGATTTGCGTATATTGAACCAGCTTTGCATCCCTGAAATGAATCCTGTTTGATCGTGGTGTGTGATTTTTTGGATGAATTGTTGAAGTCGATTGGCCAAAACTTTGTTGAGAAGTTTTGCATCAATGTTCATCAAAGAATGGGTCTATAGTTCTCTTTCTTTGATGAGTCCCTGCCTGGTTTTGGGATGAGGGTTATGATGGCTTCATAGAATGTGTTCGGTAGTGAGCTTTCTCTTTCAATTTCATTGAAGAGTTGGAGGAGTATTGGTGTGAGCTCTGCTTTGAAGGCCTTGTAAAATTCCGCTGTAAAACCATCTGGTCCTGGACTTTTCTTAGCTGGGAGGTCTCTTATTGCTGTTTCTACTTCAATGCTTGATATGGGCCTGTTAAGATAGTTTAACTCATCTTGGTTTAGTTTTGGCATGTCAATATTTGCTAGGAAAAGGTCCATTTCTGTCAAGTTCTCAAACTTATTAGCATAAAGTTTTGAGAAGTATTCCTTTATTATGTTCTGAATCTTGGTTGTTTCCGTGGTGATGTTTCCATTCTCATCTCTGAAAAATACTTTCTTAATTATTGGTTTGTAATTAAAAGCCCAATTTGTAGCACTTGCCTATTTTCAAGCTAGGCTTCCATTTTGTTTTCCCTATTTACTGGAAAAACAGCTTTGTGCAACATGATATAACCTTCTGCTTTTGGGTTATTAATTGACATTGCTATACATTCAACAGAAAAGTGATCAGTAAAATATTTTAGATGTAATTATCTTCCAAATACAATCTAGAAGTTCCCAATGAATTGGGCTTCCCTAATCTCATGATGAAATATTCATATTCATTATTATATCATATTGTAATTAACAATCCTACCTGCTAATAATTCCAATATAGCCTTTCTCATTTTTATATTTTATTCTTTGCTCACCTTGGCACTGTCTTCCTGTGCCTTCTCTCATTGCTGAACAATAAAAGTCCAGCAGTTAACCTTGGAAATTACAAGGTGTCCTAAATGCTAGTAAGAAGAAATCTTAACAAATTAAAAAGGAAAATGTATTCTGTCTTTCCCTATAGCTGCAGAAATGCAGATTCAATTTTGCTCAAGTGGTACATTAACAACTTACAAAATAATATTAATCTTACTTTTCATCCAAGGTAGGGGGAATGTACAAACTTTTTATTTTCTATTATTAAAACTGTCCTTGGAATTATTAATTCAAAAAAGTAAGACTCTTATGGTCTCAGGGTTATAGAGGATATTTCACTGTCCTGTAGGAGTAAAATGTCTATAATACTGACTCGATGTCTTAGCAGATAACATTTATTTCTATAGTAATAATATTTAAATTTACATTTCAGTTTTGGAAAAGTATTAAATAAATACTTGTAAAATTTATCACTCTATAAAGGAATCACTAAGACTTTCCTTATCTTTCTCATTCACAGACATCAATGGAGGCTTGAAATATCAGATTTTTAAAATGTAAACAAAATGTCTGATTGTTTATTTCATTAAAAACACGACCACAAGAAATGGCTCTCTTCTTGCTAACCATCCTCAATCATCCATGGCCAAAGGAAACTCACTGAATGCTCAGGAGCGAGGACTCTGTGTAAAGAGCAATAGAGACTAAAGTATTTTATATATGTATATATATGTATAATTATATATATACACATATATATGTAAAAATGCATATATTCACATATATTTACATATTACATATATGTAAATATGCATATATTTACATATATGTATGGCAAATATATATTTACATATGTAATATATATTTACATATATGTATTTGCCAGTCGCCATGGCTCACACCTGTAATCATAACTACTCAGCAAATTGAGATCTGAGTATTGGTTTCAAATCCAGCCCAGGGAAGAAAAATCTCAGTGAGACTCTTATCTCCAGTTAGTCACTCAAAATCTGGGAGTGGAGCTGTGACTCAAAGTGGTATAGTGCTTACCTTAAGCAAAAGGAGCTCAAGTACAGTACGTAGGCCCAGAGTTCAAGACTCACAACCAACAAAAATAAATAAATTAAAAAACTAAAACATATATATATATATATATATATATATATATATATATATGGACCTTTGGAAATGACAAGAATATATAATACAATCTTTTGGGAAGTTGAGTATTAGCAAGAGGAGGAGGGCAAATAAAGAAGATATAAGAGGGTAAATACAGTTGAAGAGCTTTATATGCATGCTTGAAAACAAAACAATGAAACTTGTTGAAATACTTTTAAGAAGTAGAGAAGGAAGAAAAACAGAATAACAGAATACATTTGATCTGGAGACATTGTATGGATATACAGAAATATCACAATGAATCCCCCCCACACACCTTGTCCAACCAGTATGTTAGCAAAATATGTTTCACTTAAAATAATTATTTCATTTCAGTTTTTCATTAGGATGGTTTTCCAAAGATAGAAAAATCTGCTATAAATAATAAAAGTATTATATAGTATTCACTAGAAGAATAATATTAAGCCACTGGGATTCATTTTCATTGCAACTGATCTATGTGTAGCCTTAAGTAAGATGTTAAAGTTGTAAGTAGTAGTCGTACTGTCAAAATTTATTGAAATCCTGCTTTGAAGACCTTATACAGTATTTGTGAGGGCAGAACTAACATTTTTTTTTTTTTTTTTTGGTCCGGTTGTGGGGCCTGAACTCTGGTCCCTCAGCTCTTCAGCTCAAGGTTAGCGCTCTACCACTTGAGCCACAGAGCCACTTCCGGCTTTTATATTTTTGCTTATGTGGTGCTGAGGAATCGAACCCAGGGCCTCAGGCATGCAAGGCAAGCGCTCTACCACTGAGCCACCTTCCCAGCCCCAGAACTAACATTTTATTTTTAACACTTGGGGCACATTCAGGATTTTGTCTTATTTTACATTTTAAATTCAGCACATGAAAAGAGAAATGTAGCTTGGTACTTCTAGGCAACACAAGAGTAGGAAATGTAAAAGAGGTAGAAAAAGAGATAATTGAGAAGACCCTAGTAAATTTTAAATCTTATATGCAGATTAAGTCCTTAACTGAAGGCATTCCACTGTTCTTAGAATCATCTCCTTTGAATTACATATGGATGAACAATAAGAAAAATTATAAAGGAAGTAACACACCAAATATTTGCCAACAGTCAGGAACTCAGCTAGGGGATTTGCACAAATTATTTTTTTCTATTTTAACAATGATCTGGGACTTAAGGAGAATCTTTATTCCCTTTTCGTTGATGGAGAAATTGAGATTTGGAAATATAAGTGCTGTAAGTGCAGCTACAAGGTCAACAGATAAGCCAGGATTCATATTTCAGTCTCTCAATCTTCTAAGTCTGTCTACTGGTGTTACATGGGAATTCAATCAGCAATGTACAGAGAAGCCATACTTTGAAAGGTAGAATCTGGAGTCTTTATTACAAAGCCAGAAACTGTGAGTGGACTCATGTCCCAAAGAACTCATAGCCTGGAATGCAGTATATAATACAAAGCTTATAAAGGCAAAAATCACATGACTGGCATGAGAAACTAAACCTATCAAAAGCATGTTTAGAGAAGCAAAGTAAGCTAGGTAGAACTATTTGGGGCTTAGGGCAAGAATTCCCTGGAGCAAGACTTTCATGGAACTTAGGGCAAGAATTCCTGGAGCAAGACTTTCTCGCAATTTAGGACAAGAATTCATTGGAGCAAGACTTTCCTGGAGCTAAACAGCACGACACATCTGCTTGTCTCCATCATTTATTAAGACGCCATGATGGCAGTAAAGACAAGATGGCATTAGAGTATCGATATCCATGTCACTAGGATATCCTAAATAAACTCAAGCATAACCTGAATAGTGACATTTTCATTGTCTTTTCCCCCCTAACTTCTAACATTCTTTAGTTGAGCAACTTAACAGGCTCTAAACATTCTGAATAATCAAGGCACAACCTAGGTCCCAGAATAAACAGAAAGTCTTAAAATACTTTCCAAAATATAGCCCAGCTACAGCGTTAACCCAATGAAATGTCAAGAAAACCAGGAGATGGGAATAAAGCCTCCAACAGGGGCATCTGAAAGAAGACCAGACTCCCTAATCAACTCAGTAGATTAGAGGATTATTGAGGAAAGTTAAGGGTCACCCCACCTAGACTCTCCTCAAATATAGTTTCCCCCTAGATTTAGAACTTGCTTTGTATATGAGATGTTTGAATAAATGGATATGAGATGTTTGCATATGAGATATTTGAACCTACACATTTTTCAACAGAACATTAAAAAATGAGCTGATTAGAAATTTAAATTTCAGAAATGTTCATCCTTGCAAAGGAGATAATTACTTCAAAATACTATACAAAGACACCTAGAGAGTCTTCAGATGCTTATTACAATGGGAAACTGCACTACTAACATTCTACCAGGAAGGAGAATTTAAAACAGAGTAAGAAGTCAAGTAAGAATGTGCATAGGGAAAAAGCATATCAATTCTAGATGATGCACTGTCCCTGTATGCATTCAGTGACCTTTATTAAATCTACTTATTAATCTTCAATCTTCCAGGAGGTGTAAAGGGTCAATGTGTCAATGTCTCATTGGTGGTCCTCTGGTCAGAGAACTGCTGGGAAGTCTGTGGAATATATGAGCAAAGCAGAACCTTCTTTTCCTAGACCTCAAGCATTTTTAAATGGAAAAACAGGTAATTATATAGAAATGTGTTCATTACTGAAGCCAGATACACAGATTATATTATTCTGGACAAAGAGAAAAAAAGGCTGGACTCAAAAGTTAAAACAAAAAGCAAACTGGAAAGCCAGACAAGCTCACATTCCACCATGCCCACTTTTTAATGTTAAGTTACAAGATTAAGAGATATTGGAGGCCTATATAAATCTGCATTTTGGTAAGACATAGTAAAAATTTGGGTACTCCTCATGGTTAGGAAAAGACAAAGAATGAAGGTATGTCTGGCAAAGTTCTGAAGATTACCCATGCTTTGGGTGGGTAGAGTTTTGGGTAGGCCTAACCCATCCTACCCACCCAAAACCATTGTCTCAGAATTAGGAGTCTTTAAGCTGACAAACTACATGTATCTACCCAGCTCAGAAACTACAAAAGCTACAGATAAGAAATGTCATTTTGAGTCTTTAACTCCTATTTTCTTCAAGGGAAGTAGGAAATGTTTCTTTTCTCCATTGCTACCTACTTTAATAATATTTTACTCAAGTCCTTGCTAAAACTTGTGTGATTTGTATTACCTTGAGTGACTCTCTTTTTTGAGAGACACCTGGATATGTTTTGCCTAATTAAAGGGATCTGTGGTTTTGCCTGGAACCTAGGAAAATGAGGAAAACCCTTATCTATCATGTGGTGACTATTACTATGGTTGGTGCCCTTTAGCATGGCAGACATATGAGTAATCATCTGTATGAAATGTACCACAAACAGCACATCAGTCTTGTATGCAGAAACAGATCTAACCACTTCAGACATGCACTGTTGCCAGCAGAACTCAGTTTTTTTTTAAATGCCAAGATAAGAAACAATTTATTATAGAGAAAAGAAAAATTTCTCATCCAAAATATCTGTACAACTTTGCCACAATCAATATACATGAACTGTACAAATTTACACCAGTTCATAATTTACCAAATAAAAGATAACTAACAAAGTTCACAAAATAGATGGTGGTTTGTGGAAAAGACTTTTACCCAATTAAGTATAAGGAAAGTTACAAACCAGACCTCCACTTACTAAAAATAAGAAGTTTGCTCAGTCTTAGAAAACTACAAGCTAGCAAATGTACAGAGAGCTGGCTGGTGCTAACACCACAGTTGAGACAGTGTCTTTAATTTTTTTAAGGATCTTTTTAAAAGCCTGTTGCCAAGGCAGATTCTGGTCACTTGCTACTTTCAAAGCCAAAAACACAATACAAGGTCTGACCATTTCCCCAGGTCATGCTTACTAGTTTGTCTTTATGTACATTTATACATATTTAAGTGCTAGGTAAAAGTCTTGTCATAAAGTTTCCAGTACTACCATGTTTAAAACGTTGAGCTTTCCTACTGAGCTGCCAAAAAGATTACTGATAACAATTTCTAGTGTTACGAGTGCGAATTCCTCTGCAAGATCTATTGCAGAGAAGGGTTCTTAGAAATACAGATTTTCCTTAAAGGGACTGATGTCAAAATTTAGGTATAATGTCTGGGAGAAACAGGGACTTCACTCCCTAGCAAATAAAGTGATCATTTTACTTGGACTCACAGGCCATTAAATCATTCAAAGGTACTGTCCAAACTATGGCACTGTTATTTATCTTGTGCCAGATCTTCACAGCTATGACATGGTTTTAAATCCATAATCCATCCCCAAGAGGAGCCCACCCAAAGCAAAAAAATCAAATTTATCCATCCATTATAAGATGATCCATCCATAGACTACATCTTAACCCAATACAGTCATCATACTGTAGTTTTTGGAAGGGCTTGTTCTGCCCAAGAGCAGTTCCTCCTTACAGCTGATTCTGCTGTCTACCATTTGCATGTTGGAGCTGTTTTGAGTGCTACCTCCTGCTGGTGAGGCTTCATATAGCACATAGATGGAGCCATCCTCAAAACTCAGTTTTAATGTCAGTTATTTTTCCTTAGTCTGTTGTAAGAAAACTCAATCATGAGAAACAGAGAAGCCACCACCTAAAAGGCCAAATTATGAGTCTTTAGTAGAGAGCCAAAGGACTTACTGGTGGACTCATGTCTCAAAGACCAGTATTCCTAAATACAGCTAGCACAAAGCTTATATGGGCCAAAATCACACAAGGTGTGTGGAATCAACCCCAACAGAAGTGTTATACATGTTCAAAGCAAACCAGATGAGGACACTTAAACTTAATCGAAAAACAAACCATCTAGGGAAACAATCAGGGAAAATCAAGGGCTAATTATCTAGGAGAAGCACAGACCCAGTCTCCTTCATTCCCCATTGGTTTTTATGTACATGAAATCAAAGCATTGATTTGGGAGGCCTAGGCTGCATTTGGAGGCCTTAGAAGAAGGCAAAGGATCAGAGCAATGTTCTACAGTCTGAGCTTCAGTGGATCTGAAGTGGCTTGTGTCTTTCATTCAGAATCAGCAGGCTTCAGGTGGGTGTGATAGAGCCAGGCAGGGATTCCTTCTCCCTTCACAGTGGTGGGGGTCAGGATAACAATGTAAGGTCCCTTCCAGGCAGGAGTGAAGCCATCTTTAACACATTTTTTTAACCCAAATGAAATCTCCAGGTTGGAAAGAATGGGTTGTGTCATAGCAATGTCTCCCAGTCTGACTGCACTTTTCCTCCTGGGCTACCTGTAAGTCTTTCACTGAGTCTACAGAAACTTAAAGAAGCATCATTAACCTAAGAGGGGGAAGGGAGCCTGACTTCAGTGAAATCTCCCAACATTTTTCTGGTTGCTTTCTCTGAATACATTGGCTTTTTCAGGCTGGTGCACACTGGTTTTCAAGACAGGTTTTAGGCAATGGTCTGGGGCAATTTACCATGGTAACAACTTTTGTTAACCAACATTTTAAAATAAGGCCAGGATTTCTTAGGCAGACATAGAAGGCATGGGCCTGTAACTATATCACTATTTTCCCATATCTATTTCTTTAATTTATCCTGACTCATCTTTGCCAAAAATGACTTTGGTCCCTTGATCTTAAGGGGAGTTGTTGGGCAATGATCTAGCTTCTATAACTTCTTCAAGCTGATTCAGGTCCCTATCTAGCCAGGGACCTAAAACTTTTGTCTATTTCACCAAGGGGTTGTCATGATCAAATGTTATTTGGAACAGTATTTACTCCAAATTGGAAAGCACATGCAACACTAACTTTTAACAACTACACAGACCTTTGGGGCTACAGTAGTATAGCCCGTTTAGCACTCTGGTTTGCAAAAGCATTTTCCTAGCTTCCTGAGGAATCTGACCTTACTGACTCTCACAATGCCTTTGTTACCTGTGCAGGCTCTTAATAGGGGCACAATCTCAGGTCCACAAACTTCCTTTCCTGATGAGATGAATTTGTATGACTAGTGTCAGATCAAAATTTACTGTCAATTAGAGTTTGTAGTTAACAGATACAGGGTGGTAGGATTTTAAACTATCCCCCTTTTGACAACCCTAGCTTTTTACTACCCACGCTAACAGATGACTAACAAGCCAGTGTTTAAGTTCTTTCTCAGTTACAAAGTAGACAGACATGTACATTAGATAGGCAGGCTTACAATACTTTTCCTTGACCTCCCAGCTCTGTTTAGTTTTGAAGGCCAAGCACAAGTGACTCTAGGATCTGACACTATCTTTCATCCGAGCAGTGTCTTTCAACTGCCTCTGGATGCCCGTCATTGCTAAGACAAGCCAGGAGTGTCTTTTTCACACTGGGATAATGTCTATTGGCATTTCCTTGGTCTGTCACTGGACTTGAATTCAGGCCTAAACACTGTCCAAGCTCTCTTGCTAAAGGCTAGCACTCATCTCTTTGAGCCACAGCACAGCTCCACTTCTTTCAGTACTCTTTGCCCAGGCTGACTTCTGAACTGCTGCCCTCAGATCAATGAGTCTTTATCAAAAGCCCTTTTACTCCAATTGAAGCAACAAGAAGATTCATTAGAAGCAGCCCCTAAGCATGGTCCCACCTGGAACCCACCAAGAGCCAAAGTTACATCTTACAAACTTGGAAAAATCATCTGTCTCTACTTCACATTTTTCATTTGCATTTAAATTACCCTTCAGAAATCTTGAAACAGGTAAAGCCCATTTACTTTTCTGCAGCTTGGTTTTAAAGCCACCCATTTTGCCATTTTTCCCCCCTGCAGTGTGAGTTCTCTTAGGAAACCTTTGTACTCAAATGACAGATTTTTCTTATTGCAAGAATTACAAGCACTGGCACTGCACCCAAGAATCCAGACTTAACAAACAAGGAATCTCAGAGCATCTTTTTGCCTTTTCTAAAATGCATCCAATTGCAAAATAGCATCGAAACTAAATTACAACACAAATTTTTTTCTTTTAGCCCTCCTTTTATTTACTTTGACAGATCAACCTTCCCCCTAGAAGATAGGCCCATTGGTCCATCCTAAGTTTTCCATGTCCCCTTTTCTCTTGATTTCTTCCTGAGATAAAAACCAAAGCCATTCCAGACAGACAGAACAGATAATGCCTTTAACAGGGATAACCAATCTTTATACTCAAAATTCTGATACTTAGCCCCAAATTTAGTCCTCAAGAATTTTACATTTTTGCTAAGCCCTATAACTCTTCATTATAGCACTAACAACTTTAAGGACACCTTTTTAAATCCCTTTTCCAAACCTACTCCTTATTATTAAATTGAATTTTAAAAAATCCTTAAAAGACTTTAACAGTAGAATATTTTTTATTGTGAAAATACCATACAGAGGGGTTACAATTACATGGGCAAGGTAATGAGTACATTTCTTATCAAACATTGTTGCCTCCTCCTTTGTTTCCCCTTCCCATCCCTTCCCATCTCCCCCGCCCCCCCCCCAAAAAAAGGATTTTTTTAACTAAAGTTCCTCTTTAAAACAATGTAATAATCCTTTTAGAAATTTGGTAATGCCTAAATATAATGACCTTTTTTGGAGTTTAAGCTTAAACTTACCCATTTACCTTTGTGATTTAAGTTTAAACCCACCCAATTTTTCTACAGCATGCTGAGAGTTTTTACCTTGAACATGTTCACACACACACACACACACACACAATCTCTTACAGATGACCAAGATTTAAGACAAAACTGTTAACAAAGCACTTTAGCTAGGCCTCATTTCTCCACAGCCTGCTTGTTTAACAAAGTATTACCACTAACCTTTGAACACCTTCAGTTGGAGGAAGGCTGGGGGTGGGGGAGGGTCAGGTGAAACTAAACTGGCCTGACTCTGTCTTTAATCCAATTTTAGACAAGAGCACTTTACAACTTCTATACTGCCAGGATTATTTAGATGTCTTATGTCTGAACTAGGCCCAAAGCTGTCTATGCCTCCTCACCACCTCCACCCAGACTGCCCGCAAGACTGCCACCACAGGGGAGTCATAGCAGGCCTGTGGACCTGCCCAGCTGGAACCTGGAACTTTGATTCCCCCAGAGATGTCCAGATGAGCAACAAAACCACAGAAAACAAGGTTCCACAAGACATAAACACACCAGGTGGCCTAGCCCCAAAGCCTCTGACCACAACAAACTGATGTCAGGTGGCCTAGTTCTCAGACCTCCAGTCTAGGCCAGACGCTGGGTAGTCTCTTACCATACCCATGGCCAGATGCCAGGTGGCCTGGTGGAGGTCTGTGGGCAATAAATCAATACTCTTTAAGTTCAGAAATGAAGGGACCAGTCTTGCTACTATTGCTGCACTTCTCCTACTTTTGTATCATACCTGTTCAATAACTTTTTGGATGTGTTACTGAAAAAAATATAAAAAAATTCAGTCCTTTTGGCATTTTCATAATCACATCAAATTTAAAAAAACTTGATTTAAAAAATGTTATTTGTTGACAATTGCAAGGCACTGTTTTACATAACTGGGAATATCCTATGAGTGCTTCTGACAAGATAATTTAAGAATAAGAGAAATTCTAATTCAGGGAGCTTCTCTATCCACTGTCACTCACTACAGACCTCTTATCTTCCAGAGATGTGCATTAAGCACATGTGCTAAGAGCTAGGGGTTGAGAGACAAACTCACACTCGATATATGTAGAGAAATCAATACAAAAAATATAGATGAGGTTGGTGTGGTAGGTTAAACCTGTCATTCTAACTACTTAAGAGGTAGAGAGACTTGTCATCCAAGTCTTTTCCTATGCATGTCAGCTAATTCTTTTTCTTGAAGTATCACAGACATTCTGTAAGAAATTTTGAGGAAAAAGCCATGAGAGGTACTCTAAAAGATGAACCAAAGAGCGGGGTGCTGGTGGCTCACACCTATAATCCTAGCTTCTCAGGAGGCTGAGATCTGAGGATCGCAGTTCAAAGTTGGCCCAGGCAGGAAAGTCTGTGAGACTCTTATCTCCAATAAAACATTAGAAAACCAGAAGTGGTGCTGTGGCTCAAGCAGTAGAGTGCTCGCCTTGAACTGAAGAGCACACGGACAGCGCCCAAGTTGAACCAAAGAGAATTCAATCACTCTCATAAAAAAAAAAAAGAATAAATGCCATAGACAACT